TTTATGAATTACTGTGTTATTTTATGATGCTACTTTAATAATAATAATAGTATTTAAAATTTTTTAATGAAATTTTATTAATTTATATTATTTTTACGAAATACAAGAAAAAAGTAATAAAACTCATTAATGGTTTCCAAGAAAATGGAAAAAACCCAAAAAGGGTCAATTTTTTCTAAGAACTTTTTTTAGAATCCTTGAACACGTGTTTTATTGCCCATTTATTAACCCATTATGCAGGTATTGGTTATATGGAATATTTAACATTATATTTTTTGGAAATTTGCATAATTATGTTGTAAATCCTTCCTGTGTAAGCTCTTAAAATGTTCAAAGAAAAAGAGTTGATTAATTCAAAACTCAGGACAGTCCTGTGAATAAAAATTAGTGTCGAAATTGTGCGCAAAGAACTAGGGAGCAATAATTTGCATGGTCAAGTACCAAGGTGGAAACCGCTCATATCGAAGTTAATCGATGTTAAGTGTCTTGACTCCGCAAATAGACTCATAAGTAAGAATATTGGATTCTGGAAGGAGGTTATCTTCGACGATTAGAACAAATATAATATTTTTGGCTCAGATGGTCGTCAAATGATATGGCGAAAGCTTGGAGATGCCTTGGAATTATCTAACTTAAAACCAACTGTAAAAGACCCAAGTTGCTCTGCCATATTTTGGGGTTCTGTGTAGACTAGAAGGTCCACTTGTCAATTTTAGAGCAGAATTTGCATGCTAGTACCACCAAAATGGGGCTACAACCCATTCAATTTATTTTTCAACAGAAAAACGATCCAAAATACACGACCTTGTACGTGAAAATGTTGATCATTTACAACACTAAGTATCTTCTTTCACCAAATTTTCAATGGAGTTAATGTCTGGACTTAAACTCCATTGAAAATGTGTATATATTTACAAGAACAACTTTTAAATCACTAATTCAATACATTAAATTCGAATACTTATGAGAGACACTGTAAATATCAAATCGAATTTTTGGTCTGTCATTAAAGCCGCCCTTGTTGATGCGATGTATCCTAATGTATGTATTAAAGTCCTGCACAAGACAATAATAATGCGACAATTTGCTAAAAAAAATTCGTGTGCTTATGATGATACACACGATATTTTTTTAACAAATTGTCGCATTATTGTTAACTTGTGCAGCCCAAATATGTGGCATTTCATTCAGATTAAATTAAAAATTGGCGAAATTGCAATAATTTGCATGGAATCTCACATATGTAACAAATTGTATATCTGGAAAACCATTGTAGTTAGAATCTTTAAAATCGTTAAGTGGGTTTCTTATTTATATTGCTTTTAGGGTAGCAAAGTACACTGGATATAGCTAGTAAATAAATAAAATATCTTTGTTTTTACGTTATTGATCATTTCCTTAATGCAAAATTTTTTAGAAACTGATTTTCTGCAAGATGTTATATATGGTGGATAGGGTCAAATATAGGCCGATCCTCGTAAAACTTGGAAAAGAATTTGTTTTTAATTTTCAAGAATTTGTTATCCATCCCTGCATAATTTCTCACACAACTTTTGTGCTTGCTCTGTTTTGTTGTTATAAACAATATATTTGCTTCCAAAATCCCACTTTCTGATCTCTCGGATTCCGTTTTTATTTAAAATCGTTGAAGATTTAAAAACTAAACGTAGTTGAAAACTTAGCCGGCTTACATTCGATTTTAAGCCGCCGCTGACATATTTAGTGTCAGTCGCCGTCGCCGTTAATATTTGTCGGCTCAGGGCTCTGATGGCTACAGATAATTGCAAAAATAAAAGGTGAAATTATAATTTTCTTTTAAAAAGGGTATTTATGTTAATATTAAAAGTAGTTTGGTAAGTAATAAAAAATTTATTTTTTAGATTGTTAAATTGATTTGTTTTTTTGAAAAATTTTTGCAAAAATAGGTAATTACTTTTTTGTTATCTTTATGATTTCAAAAAAACGCTAAATTGACATCATTTATTATTGTTGTGTTGAAATATCAACAAACTCGGTGCAAATGTTTATCATGGATTCTTTGGATAAAATAAAGAATTTATTGGATTCTTGTTTACTGCCGCAGCTAAAACATGATCTGGACAGCATTCCCATTGAACGAGAACATTTTACTACTTATCACGATTGTTTAGAACTACAATTGCCTCTTTTATATGATTGGATCCAGCAACAGCCAAATAATTTTGTATGGACCGATGAAGAATCATGTGAAGGAGCTAAACTGGAGGTATATTCAAAGTTATGTAGGATAAAAATAAAAAATCAAAGTACTAAACTATTTATATTAACACTTTGAAGCTAAAGAGTAAAAACCAGTGTTTTAAAGAGGTCTTGTAAAGTAACAAGGAACACATATGTACCAAAACGTATGCATATTATAAATATTTAAATTTACAAACTTACATACATGCATATCGTCACCTGAAACGGCCCTAACTAACCAAAAACGATTTTATTGCAGATTCTTATGTATTTCATCAAAACAAATGTCCACAAAATAAATTAGACTCCTCCGACCAAAATTAGCTATTTTATTGTCAAAAAACAAAAGGCCCTATCTACAAAAACATTTAAATATTAAAGGTAAAAGGTCCATTTTATCCATTTTTATGTACGCCAATGTCGACTGTTGTAACAAATAATACGTTTCACCATTAAACAATTTGTTTATTTTATAAAAATAAATCGCGCTGATAGAAACAAACTTTTCAATTTAAATAGTTTTTTGCTTCTCCTGTAAAATTTTAAAAATGTTAGATAGGGCCGTTTGCGTTTTAGGTGACGATATGTAGGTATATAAAAGTTAACTCTAAACGTTATTTCTATCGCATTTGTCAAATGTCCAATGATTTTTGGGTAGATACATATGTAAACAGATACCTGTTATATTTTATCACTTTAGACAAAATCAAGGCCTAATCCAGGACGATTTGATAATTATTTTTTAAATTATGTTTTCCAATTAAATTATTATTTATAGTATGTACCTATTTTTTTCCTTTAGATAGAAACTAAACTCATTGTGCTCCTTTGTGAAATCAGTTCTTCCAATACAATTTATCAATTAAATCGCAAAGAATTGATTAGTAATGCAGAAAGAGTTTTACAAAACACTCCTAAACTAACTAAAGAATTAGATGAATCGTTATTCAAATACTACGAGGACAAATTACATAATGATAAATGGAAGAGGCAATTGGGAGCTGTAAATGGCTTTGTAAAATATTTAGAGGTATGTAATTTTTTTAAAACTATGTAAGACAGAGTCATATTTATACCATTTTTATGTTTCAAGTTTCGTTTTTGTAATGCTCTTGATCATGATCGTAAGATGAGCCAAAAATTCCTTATGTTTTGTTTATCTGTCGCTTTAAATTTGAGAACTTGTTACGAAACCCATTATAAAACCTTAAGTACAACAATATTTTTGATTATGCTGCAACAAGGGGTAAATATTTTAATTTATTTCGTTTTAAAATATTATTGTAAATAAGTGTTTTTTACTTAAAGGCTAATGACGACATTATTTCCATGAATATACACAGTGTTATTTATGATGCTGTCTTCAAAGATATTCACATTATGGATTCAATTCTATTTATTAATAAACAATGGAATTGTTTAATAAAATGTTTAGATTTTTATACAAATTTCGATAGTTTTACGGTAAGTAAAAAAAAGAAAAGAATAAAATATATATTTTATATATTTTTTTACATATGTGTATGTATATAGTGGAACTACTTAGATGATATGATGGAAGTTTTACTACGTAATATATCTTTGGCTCCGGACAATGCAGCCTCTATGTGTCTTTTAAAGTTTGTAAACAAATTAATTGTTTATTTCACCTTGAATCACAAAGAATTTGAGGATTTTTTCATAAAAGATTTAACACAGATGGAAAATGTAAACGAGTATCGTTTATTGGCGAACGCAAATACTAGCTACACTTGCTATAGATGGGCTAAAAGTATATTACAAATGTTTGTTATAGAATCATATAAATTAATGCAAACAGCAGAAAACACCCTGCAACTATTACAGGTATATTTCTATATATAAAAATAAAAAAACGATAAAACTTATATTTCAAATTAATTATAGGAAATTCACAAGATCTATATACTGTCTATATTACCCATAAAATTATCGGTAATAGAAACACATTTAATTATATTTCTTAACAAATTTATAGCCGTACTAATGGAAACTATAAAAGTGCACCAAGCTAAGCAAGACATAATAATGCCGGTAAGAAATGCTTATGGGCACTGGCACACGTTCAATATATATTGATCAATTTGGATCACGACCCATTTTAATGGATTGATGAATACCTCGGGTATGCTACACGTTCAATATTTTTTACGTCAGTATTTGCAATATTTTATGGTATACGGGTCAGCAGATGATTAAACGAATGCCTCGAAAATCCGGAATTAACACAAATGGTTGTATCATGAGAAAAAAGTAATTTTCTGTTATATTTTTTAACAACTTTTAAAACAATATTTCATTGTTATTTGTTTTATTTTATTTATTTTTACAAATTTTACAAAAGTATAGTGATTGATATCACAAAACATGCTACACCTTCAATATTTATCACGAGATCCATTATAAATATTGATAATAATTTTGGATTTCACAAAATTGGGGTTTTCTGTGATATGGAATATGATCCATCAATATTACATGCTACACGTTCAATACATATCACAATACAGCAAATATCACGATATATATTGAACGTGTGACACTGCCCTATAAATTCAACTAACAAATTTTAAATATTACTTGAAATATCACTTAGGTCATTACTTCTGTATTGGAAACTTTCAACTATCATTTAAAAAATTCCGACATAACTGAAAAACTTCGAAGAATTCAACAAAATCTCGCAGGATTATTAAAAACAGAAGCTTTTACAAAATACATAACAGTATAAAGTTGTTAAAATTTTAATAAATCAACGAAAATATACATATACATATTTACATTTAAAAATTATTTATCATATTGTTCAGATATACATTCAGTGAGTACATTTTGTAATTCACTTCTAATATATTGCACATGTTCTTGTATAGTGGTTTCTTCTTGTAAATATTCCGTAGTATTTTTTGCAGCTATATTACGGGCTGTAACTTGTAACGGTTCTTCATCTTCATAGCAAGTATATAAGTTTTTAAATTTTCCATTTTCGTCCATTTCTAGCTTTTGTTTACAGTCTAAATCTAAATATTTCAGTTTAAAATTCTTTATTTTAATTTTTCTATTATTTTTATTTATTTACCTTTATCATCATTAGCACTTGATTTATTTAAGGCACTCAAATTTTCAGCTACCGATTGTACTATATTCAAATTAAATGATTTTTTTTCTTCTTCAATTTCCGCCTTTAAAAGTAACATTTCTTCTTGTAATTTTTTGCGTCTTTCTTCTAATTCCAACAGTTTAGTTTGTTCATTTTCTAAAGTTTTACATAGTTCTTGGAATGTATTGTTGGCTTTTTCTACCAAGGACTGTTGTTTATCATGCAATCCATTTGAAATTGGTCCTATTGGAGAGGCTATTGTTTGTTGCAGTTCAAAATTTACCAAATCTATTTCATCATTCCCACATAATTTAGTGTCATTTGTGTCATTTTGTAGTAGTTCTTTCGACATAATTTTAGATTATCTTATTTTTGTATATTTTTTGGTTAAAATTGCATAAAAATATATAAAATGATTCGCACGTATGTATATTTTTAATTAAAATCGAAGAGATTTTGTTGACAAATAGTTCTCAGAATTTTCGATTATAACTTGACAACCGTAAGTAGATCCAAGCCATAATGTAATAAGCATGATAAAAATAAAGAAGGTAGTGCCAATATTAAATAAAAGAATCAGTTATTAAAGATATCTATCTATCCAGCTATATTATCTATACATTAATAAATAAACAAAATTTTGCACTTTTGATAATTTTTAACAGTAGTATAATTTTTATATTTAAATTCCATCATCAACCTTGGGAGACAATGTTTAATTTAATTATTGTTAAAAAAATATTATAGCATTCAACTAGCTTTTAAACTAAAACTTAAAACAATTAACAAAATTAAACTACGATTCATTGGTAAGCCTTTCGATTTCCAATTGTAATTTACGCGATTCCAATAACATTAAAGTTCTCTTGACATTACAATTTTCTGATAACTTCTTAAAGTAGGCAGCTTTGCTACGATAATATTCCGCTTCAGCTTTAGACAATTCATCCTGTAATTGTTTCGATTCTTTAGAACGTGGCATTAGGTTTTGTATTACATCAAGTTCTTGTTCGATATTAATTAAATCCTCATCATTGACTTCCTCGATATCATCATCATTGTCGTCATCATCAGCAGTCATATCGAGAGCAGAGGTATTTGTAGTATGATAAGTTTCAAATGGTTCTGGTCGATGGGGAGTTTGTGTGGTGGTAATAGGTGATTGTAAAGGATTTTCATTTTGTACCCCATTATGAGAGGACTAAATAGCAAGAATAAATTGAAAATTAAAAAGGTTTTATTTAATTTTTTTATTAAATAACTTACCTCAATTGTTTTATGTAGAGTTTCACGTATTGAAGTTTTGCATAATCTTTTTGCGGTATTTGTAGCCTTGTGAAATGAATTGCAATTAAATTTTAAATAAATTATTAAAATTATAATTGATTTACCAAAAAAAAAAAATAGATAAACATTTAGAATTTCTCCCCTAGGGAAAAATATTTTTAGGTTTAAATCAAAATATTTAAATCGTTCCAATATTTTAAAGGTAAAATATTAATTTAATTAAAAGCAGTATTAAAAATTAAGAGAAATGCATTTATTTTGATGAACAATTTAATATAAAACGTATTTTTTCTAGGTATAATACTGTTCTATGAAATTAATTAATTAATTATCCATTTCTAATTGCTTTATTTCTAAACGCAATTTTTTTACTTTTAAAACCATCATAGTTTTCTCAATTTTTAAATTATTCATTTCGCTACGAAAATATTTGGATTTTTCCTTGAAAAATTGTATTTTAGCTTTTAATTTATCATCACTTCGTTGCTTTTTTGTTGTAGATTTACGTGATGGTATAAAATCTTGTAAATTCTAAAACAAAACAGAAAATTATGTTTGTTTTTTTACGTTTCTTTTATGTTTCATAATTCGACTTAAATTGTGTTATTTTCTTAACTATTTTTTATTGTTGTCATAATTTAAAAACTAAAAATATTTACATATGTATGTACTTACCTCTACGGCATCATCATAGGTTGTATTATCATTTGCATTATCATTAATAGTTGCATCTTCAAATTCCATATTACTTTGTTCCGTTTTAACATTTGTATTTATGTTTTCATTTTGCTGCACCACTGCATCAGTTTTGAGTGTTATGCGTTTCTGTAAATATGTAGAAGATTTAGATTGATATCATTAAAGTTGAGTGAAAAGTTTTGTTCGTTATGACTAGAGTTTCTTATTACAACTTAGATATTTTTCAGTCCGTAGAATTGACGAGTAATTAATCAACAAAAAAATTATTCATTCCAAAAACCTAAAGGTTTTGAATAAACTTTTGCATTTAAATTTTATAAGCATTTGGGTTTCTTTTACGAATTTTTTTATATAACTACCATGGTATAAATATTTTTTATACCATGATAACTACATTATATGTAGTTATATTTTCAAGTCCCAGCCTAATGTAAATATTTATAAACGATAAAAGTTGTCCCATCTCTTTCACCATTATGTTATTTGTTGTTTTATTCAGGTATTATTACATGCATGTGTATAGATTGGTGTTTACGTGTGTGCATACACATGTTATTTGTATTTATTACATTTTTCTGTTTATTCACTGTTTACCTTTATTTCTAAATTTGGAAAATGTACAGGATCCCCACCATTAGCTCGAGCAGCTAAACAAGAATTTCTAAAGGAATGTTAAAGCATTTATTTATTTTCTATAAAATCTTCAAAAAATTATATGTAATAATAATTTTTACCTATGCTTTTGTAAACGTATAGCCGCCGTATTTTGTAATACACGATTACACGACGTACAAATCGCTGCATGTTTGCCATTTTCCACTTTTGGTATAAAACCATACAATTCATATGCAGCGCTTGTTTTACGTCCGGACATTTTCATTTTATATGAATTTTTGTTTCGATTTATGTAAGTAATAAAAAATTTGTTTAGTTTTATTTTAATTTTCAGACACACAATAAAACTAATGTTAACAAGTTGACGCGTCAAGTAAAAATGGCGTATGTAGATAAAATGTCAAATACATACTAACATCTGATTAGGTAGGTGCGTAAATGTAATGTTTACAAAAAAAGTGATGCCACATTAATATCATTATTACAGTGGGGTAAAATAGAAATCGTTTTTTACTTACGATATGTACATTAAGATGGCACCAAAATAAAATTTGCTAATGTTCGCGCAGATAATAAATATTTATTTTGTGAGCTAGATCAAAGGATAAAAAAATATTTTGTGAGATATTCATGATTTTTTCCATATTTCTTCATATGAAACCAAAATTACATAAATACATATATTAATTTTGATATCATATGAAAAACCTTCGAAAAGCGATTTCAAAGCCATGTCAAGCATTTATCAAGCATTTATGTATATGCGATTACAAAAATATTATTGTAAATAATCGAAATTACATATTAAATAGATAACATAAGATCGGATAGGAAATACGTTTTGACAGATTTAAAAAAATACTTACTACATAGTTGGAATGTTGAAACATTCCATTTTTCAAAATTTGTAAACGCCGCACAAAGACCTTTCACATAATATCATTCCTTTTATTTTCAGTGGGAACCTCATTTTATGATAAAAAAAAAAAATTATTACCAGTGCAGGGCATTTATGCAGGACATTTAAGATATTTTATAAAAATTTAAAAATGTAACTGCTTTTTTATATTTAACCTGTAAGTTATGACAGTTACTTACAAATCAAATACAGTTACTCAATCTTTCCGATTACTTTTAATCGACTACAATTACTCGATTCTTTGCATTTGTTTGTACAGCACTAATACACTTTACTCATTTGTTTCTTTTAACACGAATACGAAAAATTTTATTCGAGTTATTGCTAAAAAAACAATATAATATTTACCCTTTGAAATTAAGCGAATAAGATAATTATTCGAAAATTATTTGTTGACATTGACTATCAGAAAACTGTTGTTTAAATAAACCGCCAACACATAATGAGCGATAATGATGAGTCGAATAAAGATGTGCCTCTACGTAAGCGAGCCAGTCTGGTTTGGCAATATTTTGAGAAATTAAGCAGTGTCCGTGTCAAGTGTCGTATTTGCCAGCACGAGCAGCGATATATGGGCAACACAGCCAATGCTTTGAGACATTTAAAAGCTAAACATGATATAGATGCCAGAGCGGTAGGTTTAGCCGATCCAGAAAATGTTAAACGCATGAAAGCATTATCCACTTCCGGCATACCATTTGAGCAGAGAATTGCGGCTATAAATATTAAAAGTGAAAATCGTTTTGATGAAGATGATGAGGATCAACGTACGGAAGGCAGTAGACAGAAGGAGGGAGAAGACGAAAGTGAGGATGTAGGTCATTCAAAATATAGTCGTAATCGTCAAAGGATATCGGTATATGATAATGAAGCTGACATAGATCCCTATGGAAATAATGAAGAGGTTTTTATTGCCTTTTCCTACACTATTAGTGTTCTGACTAATGTAATAAACCCTAATTTATAAAACACTGTTTTCTTTTTGTTTCAGCCTTTCATCGATTTTAATGACAGTAACAATCATTATACTAGCAAAGATGAACTAGGGGAACCATTCGAAAATAATCGGAATTCCAAGAACAATTTAAACCGTAAACGCTCTACTCTGGAAGATGAACGTATTATTGCGGAAACGGAATATTTTCGGGAAAAGGCGGCATATTTTCGCATTCAAAAACATTTAACGGCTTTACAAGCCAAAAAGGTTAAATTTGAATTGGAGCAATTGTATGCTAAATAATCGGCTGCAATAAGTATGTCATAGGTACATACATACTAACTTTAAGTGACTTAATATTAGCAAATAGTTTAAATTAAAATGCAATAATAAAATTAGTAATAAAATCAATTTAATACGCAAATTATTAACGAAAAAGGAGCTATTGAAGTAAATTGCATACCCAATTTTATCATACCCTTCACATTCGTGAGAAGACTATAGGTATTTATATAAGTTTGTTATTCTGTTTGTAATTTCGGCAATATAATTTTGACCCTATAAATTATATATATTGCGAGTTCTTAGAGATAACCAGTCGATGTAGCCGTGTCCGTTTGTCTGTCAGGTTCATGTCTTCATATAGCTCTCATATAAATTTACATACTGCCAGAAAATTAATTTATTGTTAATAACTCCCTCCAGAACATCGGTATTACCACAAAATTGCTCATATCAATCTTATATTAATGGAAATTGTACTACCAACCAAAACCTGGATCGGTCCATAATCGACCATAGGTCTCATTAAATTCCATTAACAAATAGCCATATCGGCACAAACTCTAATCTTACTCGTCATTACTGTAATTATAGATTTTTACCAAGCTTACAACCAACTTGCCTTTAAAATTGCTTTTATAAACATACCCCCCACATGATGAAGGTTTTACTAACCAAAAAGCAAACTAGATCTGGGCAGTAATTTGATTTAAGATAAATTTTTATTGTTTAAATTAATTTGTTCTATTTCCAATTTAACCTTTTTAGCCTGTAGAGCCGTAAAATGTTTCTGCATGCGAAAATAGGCGGCCTTTTCGCGAAAATATTCCGTTTCGGCTACAATACGATCCTCTTCCAATTTAATTCGTTTAGCAGTTTTACGATCATCTAGCTTAACATTTAAGGATTCTTCTAAACAGTCTTCCTGCAGTTCAGGCATGCTTTCGTAAAACATATCATTTTCGAAATTCTGAAATTTCAACCAATAAATTATTTTAGTTTGAATTATATGTACATTTAATAGTATGTACACACCTCTTGTTTAGTGTTATTTTCATGGTCATTATAAGGATCTAGTGTATCGGATGTATCACTACTCACTGATTTCTTGCGTATTTTTGGCAGTACGGTAGGTTTACGATCAATATTCATTTCACTTGCTAAGGGCAAAGACATGTTACTCAATTCATTGATACGCTGCATATTACGCGGATCCTGTTGTCCTTTTAAAGTTACATCCAAATCATGTCGAGCTTTCAAATGTCTCAATATATTACCAGTTGTTCCCTGATAGTTCTGTTCATGATTGCAAATACGACAACGCACCCTTTTGAGTCCCACTTTCTCAAAGAAATTCCACACCAAACTACGTTTCCTTTTCTGCTGCTCCTCGTAATTTGTTGAATTTTTCAAAGTGCTACTGCTGAGTAAATTTGTATTGTTGTCGTAGGTTGCGTGGTTCAGATTTGTATTGTCGAAATCTGAGCTATCCATGTTCATATTGTCCAAGCAATTATCATTCATCTTTTCCTCTGGCTAATAACGGTCTTGCTACAATTTGAAATTGAGGTTACAAAACGGAAATTATTGTTGCTGAAATGTTATAAACAAAAAATTATTCGTATAATATTTTTAGGGTAAAAGGTAAAAAATTACTTTGCAGAAATCCGGTTTGTATTTTAATAGTGATGCATAATGTTGAGAGTAATCCAAGTAATGAGTATTTTAGAATAAAAAATAACAAGTAACCAGAATGGAATGTTATTATTGCTGTGTTAAATTTATTGTTTATAACAGTTCATGAAATGTATTATTTATTAAAATGGAAACACTTTTTTGCATTTTTAATTAATACTCAAGATTGTACTGTTGGTAAGCATTGCCAGTATTGTTATTTTATGTTTTGTTTTTAATGCTTTGCTCTTTCGCCGCCATTTCTATCAAAAACAAAACAAAATTTGACGATTTTAGCGTCTCTTTCTGTTTTTCTTTCGTTCAAGGCGAACTGGTACAGGTAAATGACTGTTTACCAGCTGATTATTTTTTGTACATAAAAAGTTATGCCTTGGCTGTCAAACTCCATGTATAAAAAAGTTTTTACAAAACCAATGCTGTCAAAATTTAAATGAAAAAGAATAAATTCATCGCTTACTTCACCCTATAAAAATTCGTTTTGGAACGAATAGTTTTTTGGCGTCTCTTTCTTTTTCTTCATTCGTTGATGAATATACAACTACTCGTGGTGTTGGAAGAAAATAAATTGGTATTTTTTCTTCTGGGTTGTGTGAGCTGATTACTCAATTATATGTTCCATTTGAGGAAAAACTAAATATCTAATGTTAAATACCGATTATTTGCAAAAAATCAAATCAAAACAAATCCGTTGTCCCCATAAATAACAACAAATAAATGGAAGAGTATCAAATTCAGGACAATGGAGAAACATTGATTGAAACTGATTACGAAGTTAGTGAAATATTTGAGGGCAGCGTAGATTCTAATGACATTGAAGTGGTCGATTTTGAGACCTTTCAGCAGCAACCACCGGAAGATAGTTTTACCACAACGGCAACAAATCCAAAGGATTGTTCAGCAATTAAATATCTTAACAAACGTAAATATAGTTTTGTTTGGCAATATTTTCAACCCGTCGTCGGAACAAACCAGTTTCAGTGTCTGTTGTGTCAATCCTGTGTTGGCAGCCAAACTAGCAATTTAGCCAGACATTTGGCTTCTGCACATGATATCAGCAAGCAAAGAGATGTAAGTAATAAAGTGTTCCATATGAATGGAAATATGTAGAACATAATATTATTTAGAATAGCGTCTGCTGGTCCCCAGCAGATGTTGATAATCAAGCATAGTTTGTCCAAAAAAGATTCGAAACGGATGAAATTTAAATTTTGTTCTCAAAAGAATGTTTGATATTGAGAATTGAATCTTTGGTAGGAATCTGTTGATTGATAATATCATGCATTATTCATAGATAGATAGATAGATAGATAGATAGATAGATAGATAGATAGATAGATAGATAGATAGATAGATAGATAGATAGATAGATAGATAGATAGATAGATAGATAGATAGATAGATAGATAGATAGATAGATAGATAGATAGATAGATAGATAGATAGATAGATAGATAGATAGATAGATAGATAGATAGATAGATAGATAGATAGATAGATAGATAGATAGATAGATAGATAGATAGATAGATAGATAGATAGATAGATAGATAGATAGATAGATAGATAGATAGATAGATAGATAGATAGATAGGTAGATAGATAGATAGATAGATAGATAGATAGATAGATAGATAGATAGATAGATAGATGGATAGATAGATAGATAGATAGATAGATAGATAGATAGATAGATAGATAGATAGATAGATAGATAGATAGATAGACAACTGTAAAAGCTGTAAAAATAGATAACTGTAATAAATAAATGACATTATTTTATTGCAGAAACGTTTAGATAACTTAGTACGTATACGTCCTAGCCGCAGTTTCATTTGGAAATACTGCACCAAGGAGGATTCCAAACACGCCCGGTGTCATCTATGCAACAAGATTTTATACTTTGGTGGTGGTAATACAGCAAATATCAGCAAACATTTAAGACGTTTGCATTCCGATTTAATTAAAGAGAATAAGGTAAAAGTTTAAATACTAAATTTCTACAACTTAGTGAAACCTTTTAACTTTTACAGAATCTTTCAAATTCTATAAAAATGGATGATGAAACTATGCAGGCCACAGCTTCGCTCTCTAACACAACAACCTATCATGATGACGAACAAAACAACGGTGGACGGTCTAGTGCCGATATAACATCGGCCGAACGTAAAGAACGTCGCGGAGCTAGCTATGTTTGGAACTATGTTGAAAAGCTTTCACGTCATACGATACGCTGCAGACTCTGCACCAAAGTAATGTCTTTTCATGGCACTGCCAATGTTATAACACACTTGCAGCGACGTCATAATGTACTCGGCGAACCGGGCTCACAATTGAATCAAATTATCAATGCGAAACCAGAAACTTTTACTGAATTAGAAACACATGACGATTACGAGCATACTGAGTATGAGGGTAAAAAATTTGGTCGAAAATCTCTAAGTACGGCCAGTGTAGTGTGGAAATTTTGTACCCGTATTAGTACGGATCAAGTGAGATGTTGTTTTTGCAAGAAAAATCTTTCTTACCAGGGTACTTCGAATTTACAACGTCACTTGCATCGAATGCATGGTGTTATAACACATGGACGCCTTAGCAAGGCTACCGAAGATTTTGTTGCCATCAAGGAGGATAACTTTAAGGTGCCAGCAAATGTTGATTTCATTTGGCAATTCTGTTCACAATTGGAAGAAGATCAACAACGTACAAAGTGTAATATGTGTGATGCTCTATTTGAGACAAAGGATACGGAGACAATAGTTAAACATTTGGCCATGGTGCATTCGGTGGAAACTAATAATCAAAATCTTAATGGCGACAGTAAACCAATTATAATGAGAACTAAAAAAAGGAATAGACATGTTGATTTTGTAAGTAGGAATTATGTGAATTGTGTGTTCTTTAAGCCCTTTACCGGTTTTTGTGTGGCACTACCTATCGTATGTTTTTCTCAATTTTTAATAATGAAACTTTTGAAATGTGTTTTTATAGGATACTGATGACGACGACGATTATGATAGCAAATGGGCAAAATTAGATGATGCTGAGGACCAGCAAATACATACCGAATTTGATGAGACAAATATTAAAAAGGACGATTCTTTATATGATGATATCATAGAGGAAGATCCTAATAATTATGATGAAGAACCGTTTGATCCCAGTGTAAGTATTTTATTAATCTTATTAATCATATCGTTACATGGGTACATTTTTATTATTTTTTTACTTAAGCTAATGCAGGACATGCCACAAGCAAATCCCTTGTCAGCACATTCATCACGTGCAAACTCACCTCATCAACAATCCTCTATGCAATATCAAAGTCAACAGCAGCTACCACAAACACAATTGCTGCAACCAACCAATCTACTGCCTCCTCTAGAAGCAAAAGTACTCCTTAAACTGCAGGAAGATCGTTTGCGCATGGAAACTGATTATTTCCGCGAAAAAGCAGGTTACTATCGCATGCAAAAGTATTTGACTGCTTTACAGGCGAAAAAAGCACGTATAGAATTAGAGCGTCTAAGTCGTGGCGAAGCGACCATTGTAGCAACAACAGATTTAAATGGTGCCTATGCTGTTGAAGTCATACCAGAACATCATATTGCAACTCAACAATAGAAAGAGTATTCTAGTTGATTATGTTGTTGGATCATCAATTAATAATAGCAATTAAATTTATTATTTTAATTTAATAGCTATAAATCTAAATACATAGAAAAACTTTGTAACATAATGCGGACTCACGTTAGTAATTTAGTTATATTAAATACATACATACATATTAAATATAAATTTTAGTTAAAATTTTGACTGAAATTTTTTTGAAAACACCTACCTATACCTATAATCATTATAATTTTTTTATATGTTTCGGAATTTTCTTTGGGTATGTAACTAGGTCTGTTAATAAACTAAGTTCGCTATTTAAAATCATCAAATTCGGTCCAAAAATAACCGAGATATGAGTAAAATTCCGAAACAATTCTTGAAAATACCATATTACATTTTTCTCATGCTAGACTGTTTTTTTTTCCAGAAACTAAAGGAACTATTTCAACAAATTTTATCACAAGTATTTAGAATCGATTCAAAATTTTATGTAGCTCCCATTCAAATTTACATCGGGGAAATAGATTTATTGTTAATAACTTTCTCTAGGATATTGTTATTACCACAAAATTTTGCATATAATTCTAATATCAATAGAAATTGTATTACCAACTAAAAACTGTACCGGTCCATACAAAATTTAACACAATATTTTTTCAGCGAATTGATCGGCCCATACTTAGTGGTAGCTTCCATGTAAAGTCCTCTTTACTTAATCGTAAATAATAAACTTATGCGTATACATAAGTTTATGGATAAGTCCATTATTTGTTTATTATTTATGTTTTTAAAATTTATATGCAAATGAAATTTCTATAAATATTAGAGGTGAAGAGTGTTTAATATTAGGCATAGCCAAATTTGGTACTCTAACTCAAGATATATTAATTATATAATTAATACCTATACATACATACATCGGAAAATTTTTAGGTTTTCAAATTATTACATAGAATTATATAATGTAATTAATTGAAATTATTACATTATAAACCTCATGTAATTTCACAAAATGGCTTTTTCTGTTTTTCGAAATTAGTTATATTTTGTATTTTATTTTAATATTTTAAACTCTATTTTGTTCCAGGTTTTCTGCTAGCTATATTTATCTAACAAACTTAATATGTACATCAGAAAACGCGTAATTTCATTAGATTTACAATGGTATATGGTTCATTCTATTATCAATCAAATTTTGGTAGCCTACATAGGTTTCAAAAATTTAAGTAAAATTTGATCTAGATTGAATTTTGAAAAACGAAATTTTTTTTCGTTTTCGTTTCGTAGATTTTATAGAGGATTATTGTGTATTAATTTCAACGAATTATATTAAATTCCTCTATGTTAAAAATCTGAAAATATTACGAAAAATTCGAAAATTTAGATTACTTTTATACAAAAATTTCTGATAAGCGATCGAAATCGTCTCTCAATGATCTTTCTTATGATACTAAATTTTTTATCTTTCCTTTGGAAGACATATGAAAAAAATCATAAAAAACTCAAAAAGGACCGTTTTTTTTTCCCCAGGACAAAAATTTTGAGAAACGCTATCTTATAATCAATTAAACTTTAATTTAAGTTGGGAACATCGACACCCTATTTTTCCTCCATACAAACGGGGCCACCCTACTGAATTGGTTTAGAAAATTGTTTGCAATAAAAAAATTTTAAAACCAATTAAATTAATAAAAAAAAAAATAAATTTGTCCATGGGTTAATTAAAGTCGAAGATAGTCGACTTTCGAAAAAAAATCGATTTATTAAAAGATTATTATGCTTATGTAAATAGTGACTAAAAAAACTGTTACTATTGCCACATTATCAGCAAGTCTGTGATATTAATACAATGTGAATGGTTTTTAAACAAAAAGAAGAAATGTTATTATTGATACCATAGAAAAGGTATACATAGAACTGAAACTGAGTATGACAAAACCTAAGTCTGCTGTGAAAAACCTAAGTCGTGAGAATGTATTAGTTGAAAAATATGTAACCCAACAAACACAAACTCTTTCGTTTAAAAAGTTTTTATATTTTTGTTTGATATTATATTTCGATATTTTATGAAATAATGGTTTGAATTAGCCATTTTTATTCAATATCAGTTGACCAATGTAAGAAAGATCTTCATTAAAAATTATTTTTAATTTTAAATAAACTCTTTGTGGTTGCTGGGTTGAGTCAATATTGACACTTGAAAATAATATTAAAAAATAAAAACGATTGAAAAATTTGTTTTTTTTTTTCTGAAAATGTTTTCAATAATTTTATGGGAAAACATAACTTTTAGCAGTGTTTATTGCAGCAGCAGGGGCTATTTTGCCAAAGGAATTGTGCTAATGCTAAAATTAACGCTTGATATGAACGATTATTGTTAATTTCAAAGCAGCCCAAATGCAGTCAAAATACACCCTACACCACACTAATGGGAACGGTATTTTGTTTACGTCTTAAAGTTTGTAACACCTGCGTCGATGTAATCATGTAATCCGCCCATAAATTAGCCTATTGAACTTTTTTGTAAGCGGTACATGCTATACAAGAATAGGGTATTTATAAAATTCGACTCAACAAATTTTATATATACGAAATTTTGACTATATATTGTTATAATGAGTAGTACATTCATTAATTAAGCAAACATCAATCTCTTGAATATAACTTCTACATTAAAAAATACTAAATAACTTATTGCTACTTACTCGCAATGTGGTAGGGTATGATGTATTCGGATACATTTTGTACTTTCATATTTTTGTTATTTTATGTAAACAAAAATAAAAATACTCATACAATTGTATTAAATTCACACAGAACCTGTACATGTAAGAGAGTAATATTTCTTATTCTCAGTTTCAGTTCTATTTATTTTTCTATGATTGATACAATGTGAATGGTTTTTAAACAAAAAGAAGACAAATTATTGTTGATATTTTTGTGGTCTCTGCTTTAATGCGAAGAAAAAAATCTTAGGCTTTTTAACAAAGTTTGACTTTATTACACTTTCGAGCACACAATGTCTGCTGATAAAAAGCAAAATAAGTACGTTAATTTATCATAAACTCAATACGATTTTATTTGATTTTATAATTTTAGCAAAAAACTCTCTTGGAGTAATCAGATGACAGACTTCCTCATAGCACATTATAAAGAATATACATGCCTGTACGATAAGAATCATGAGGATTACAACAACCAAATGGTAAAATCGAATGCCTTAAACAATATCCTTCAAAAAATGCATAAATTTTTCCCCAATTTGGTATTAAGCGATGTAGAAGAAAAAATAAAAATAATGCATGAACAACTTTCGGACGAAATGTCTCGTATGGAGGTGGCTGAAGCGTTAGGCAATAATTATGTGCCCAAATTATATTGTTATGAACAACTCAAATTTCTGCGTAAACACATAACACCTTCGCAGTCGAAGAATGTAAGTTGAAACTGTGTATTAATAATAAACCGAGATAAAATCCAAAGTTTAGGAATATGGAAATAGTTTTATAGTAGTACCTATCGAATATAAAAAATTATTTTAATTTAAAAGCAAAATTTACTTGATCTTTGTTATTTTTTTAAGAAGATAAAGGAGGAAAATCCTTTATTGGAAGAAGCTATTGATGTTCCGGAAGAAAATTCTGAGGGATCACAGTATGCTGAAATACAAATGCCTAAACGGTAAGACTATTTATCTGTTTATCACAATTTTTAATATCCCATTATGTCTATTAGAATATATAGGAAAAAATTTAGGTGGAGAAGAGAGGATTTAAAGAAATTTATTAAATCACTTTATAAATATAACGTTTTATATGACTCCAGCCATAAAGATTATTTAAATCGGGAATTAAGGTTTATTGCTTATAAAAAACTCCTTAAAGAAACGAGAAAACTTGATCCAAAAATTACATTAAATGATATTCGTGATAAAATGAGATGTCTGCGTAAGCAATATATGAAAGAAGTACGTTTAGTAAAAAGAGCCCAGCAAAATGATGAAATATATGAACCAGTATTGTGGTGTTTTGGATTGTTGCTTAATTTATATTACGATGAATTTGGCATAAAATCTTACAGTAAGCTGATTATTAATGATACGGTAAATATATTTGTGAAAATTTTAATTTTAAAAAATTATTTGTGCCTTGATTAGTAGTAGAATAATGATGTGATAAGTAGTACTTAGTACATCCTGATCAGGATGATTAGTGTTAATTATTCGAAAGAAAACAAGTTAGAGTTCTACATTCGGCTATGTCGAATCTTAAAAACCCTTCATCTATAAACATGTTTTTTATTAACACGTCGAATATTTATAGAAATAAACATTTTCTAAATTTTGAAAGCTTAAACAAGAAACAAATAATTGACTAATCCAGAAAGTGTCACCGAATGATTTGTATACAGTGTCTCTCATAATGATTCGAATTTGGGTAAACTATAAAAATAAACCAAATTTAATAATATATTTTGTGTGCAAAATAAATAAATTAATTTGTTATATTGTCTAGATAGTCCTTATGTTTGATATCACGCTTTTTAAAACTTGAAAAATTTGCATTGACTTAAATTAATTGTGCTTTTTTAAAAAAAGTCCATGAAATTGCCTCACAAAAGTATACGAATTTTTCCTGTATTTCATATTTGATCATATTATACGCAACACAAATTTTAGAATCAAATGGTTTTTATGCGTAATATTGTTTTAAGGGGTTACTATCCACGGAAAGGATATATTTTTGGCCCATTTGGTCCACAATTTTGGGGAATTTGTACCCTGTTTTCATGTAATATCATTAAAATGCCGATTTTTGGCCATAATTGTAAATTTTTCTCCTTTTTTCCAGAGATAAAACAAAAATTTGATATTGGGACTTAAAAGACCCCTTGGGGTATCTAAAAATAATATTTTTTGTTACAAGAATCTGTATTTAAACTATCCAAGATAAATTATTCGGATCATTTTTCTGTCGCTAATTCAATATATTGGAACTTAAGTCCATTTTTATAATACTAGGATCAACTATTTTCCGGGAAAGTTTTCTGGTATATATTCTTTTAGATATCAGCTTTTATACATTTTAAGTTTTCAATGTGTTGTGGAAGTGTACAACTCCAAAACATGCCTCGAAGAAGCACCATTCAAAATAGTAAAATCATTATTTTTATATACCAATGGCCTCCATGCTGCATGGCATGATATCATTATGATCACATCAAAAATGTTGATATGTGTTTAAATATTATTTACTATGATCAAATTAAAACCAAAATTTAGGACTTACAGTGTTATTGTAACGGGCAACATAAGCGTGAAAGTTACGAGTAGTAAAAACTGAAATCTACTATATAGGATGACGTTTTGTTAAGGCATGTTTTGGCGTTGTATACCGCTATAATATATTGAAAATTTAAAATACATTAGTGCCAATATGTACATCAATATACACTAGACAACTTTGTCGGAAAATATCGTCCCTAGAGGTACGAAAAGGGACTTATGATCCAGATAATTCAATTAGAAACTGAAAAACGATACCAAAAATACATCTTGGAACTTTTAAGTACAGATCCTTATAACAAAAAATATTATTTTTAGATACCCTATGGGTTCTATTAAATTCCAATATTAAATTTTGGTTTTATCTCTGGAAAAAGGGTGAAAACATTACAAATATAGCCAAAAATCGCCATTTTAATGATATTACATGAAAAGAGGGTACAAATCCCCCAAAATTGTGGGCCAAATGGGCCAAAAATATATCCATGCGGTTGATAGTAACCCCTTAAAACAATATTAAGCATAAAACCATGCGATTCTAAATTTTTTATATCGTATAATATGATCAAATATGAAATACAGGAAAAATTCGCATACTTTTGTGAAGTAGTTTCATGGACTATTTTAAAAAAAACACAACTAATTTAAGTAAATGTAAAGTTTTCAAGTTTTAAGGGGCGTGATATCAAAACTAAGGACTATTTAGACAATATAACAAATTAATTTATTTATTTTCCACACAAAATATATTATTAAATTTGGTTTCTTTTCATAGTTTACCTAAATTCGAATACTTATGAGAGACACTGTATATGCAAAACATATTCGTGTAGAGTTTTATTCCGATGTCACAATTATGTATATGGGAGCTAAGACCAAATCTATTGTGCAGATTTGTAAGAAATATATAATAACTTAGTTATTTACATTACTTTAACACCGACATTTTTATAAAATAAAACTATTTCCGCTTCATTTACATCATAAATATATTGCCAAGTTCGACTATAGTTTTACAAGTTTATTCTACCTAATAAAATCAGTATATAATATTTATTTTACATAATTTCTTAGTCTGATAACAACAGTTTTACATCAACACATCAATCTGGAGAAAAAATAACTGATAACGAAAGTACAATTAATAATGAATTATTTGAATTTGAAGAAATTCAACAGACAGATGATGACGACGTGGAGTTTGATGAGGATCAAGTAAATTTGCCAACCATGGATGCGACTCAAACTAATGGAAGCTTTAAAAATTCAAAAAATAATAGTGAAGAAGTAAATTATAAATGGCTTGGTGAATTAGTAGTATCGCAACTGGAAGAAATATCACAAAATTATCATACGGAATTTGCATGGGATGTACAACGTCTAATACGTGAATACATTTCGAAAAGCAATACGGAAGAAGAGGAATCACCAGCAGCATCATCATCTGGGATAAATAATAGAAAACAAAAAAGAAGTATTCCTAGATACAATGTTCAAGAGCCACCTTCAAATGTTTCATTTAATATAAGTTTTCTGTAAATGTGTAATTTACATTTAAGTTCTTAAAATTATAAGAATTAAATTTTAGCTAACGTATGTGTGTATGTAATACGTTGGTATATGTATACATATCATACATATCAACATTTTTGTTATATATAACAAAAATGTTGATTACTCCCAATAAGCAAAAACCTTTGAAATGATGTAAATGTGTATTTGAAAACCTATTCAAATTTCATACATAGCCTTTGAGAACAAATTTGAAAATTTTTGTTTTCAAATGGAAAATTATGGCCTTCTCAAACAAAAAGGCAGTTAGAAATCAAACGTATTTTTCAAATGTATTTCAAATTTAAAAAAATGCTAGAGGTAAGCTTGAAATTAAAAAAATTTTCAAACGTATTTCAAGTATTCTTTATTATTATTTTCATACATATTTCAAACCCTAATTATAATGCTAACTATTGCAAAATTCATATATTTTTTTACATCACTTGAAAATAAAACATTCATATATTTATTTTAGCATATTTATATCTCCGATTATTTCTCCTATATTTAACGTTTTTTCGCTCCCTTGCTGTAGAAAAAATGTTCTGTTTTTATTTTTCTAAAATAATTTATTTTTTGAAAGAAACTTTTCTAAGTTCAATTAAATCAAAACTTTGAAATTTTTATAAATATCACACATTATATTTTTTTAAACGTTTTTTGAAATTATCATGTTTATTTCAAAGGCTAAACTTTAAAATTTGAAAACAATTTGGAAAATACATTATTTAGTTAAGAAAATTTTCAAAAATATTCACAGGTTTGAATCGATGTTTATTGGGCTTCTATATTTATTTCTGTGTTCATAAAAAGATCAACATTTTATTTTTGGTTTATTTCTATATAAAATTCCTGTTATAAATCATCAATAACTAGTCCATTATTTATGAAATGTCTACATGTGTTTGAATGACCTTTGGTTTTTTGTTAATAAAATCGCAAATATTGGTTAGAGGCGTCCATTTTTTTTTGTTAGGGCGGTGTTTAGTGGTTAGGGCTGTTTGCGTTTCATGTGACGAAATTATAAAAACAACATTGTTAAACTGCATTGAATTTTGTTTGTAAACGACTCGTGTAAACCCAGTTACATATGATCGTTTAAAGCTAATAGGTTATAAAAAATCCTATGCGCCTTCTCACCATCAGCAAAATCAGTCGATAAATAACGGAGATATGAACAAAATTTCGAAACAACTCATAAAAATAGTTTTTTGCATTCATGATTTGTTATTAAGAAACTATAGCAGCTGTATTCTTTCGTCTAGGGATTAACAAGGTTGAAAATTATTATAATCGGTTCCAAATTGTATACCTACATATGTATCTCCTATACATAGTCCATGAACAAATGGATGCAAAACTTACTTTTCCAAAATACATGTTCCTTTGAATTCGTTTATTATTGATAATTTTCCATTTCAAAATAAGTTCTTTATACGGTTTGGATGTTCTCCATATTCGAAATCGGGCAAATAATTTTCCAGAGAAATATTAATAAAATGTTTTATTCTTGATTTATATAAATTTTAAAGAATTTTAATGATTAAATTAAAGGTTTTAAATAGATTTTCTTGTTAAATTTATTTTCACATTACATCTTCTTCTCTTTATAAAACATGAATTGTTTTGATAGCAAATAGTGACTTGTTGTATGGTAATACTGCACAGTTTAAACTTGTACTAAAAATACCAAAGATTCAATTAATTTTGTAGCTTAACTAATCTAATTATTAATTGGCGTTTAATCTTCAACTTATTAAATTCCCTCAAAGTTTAAGAGCGGGTTTTTGAAATGATAATCAAATGCCAATTAATAATCAGATTAGTTAATCTAAAAATAAATTTAATCTTATGTTAATCCCCTTTGATGTTTTTGAGTACAAGATTAAACTTCGCAGTGTTGCCATACAAAACAACAGAAAACTTCACTGTTTGTTATCAAAACAATGCATATTTTATAAAAAAGAAGAAGAGAATTGTAAATTTAATATGAAAATTAATGAAAACTTAAATTAAAAACAAAAAAATGTATTTTGAAGTGTCTATAATTTATACTAATCAAAAAATAGAACATTTTAATGTTTATATTTATAAAAATTGTATTATTTTTTTTTTTGCATCAGCTGTTTACACTTTTGCATTTCGTGCTTAAGATTAAACCACCTCCATTGGGCGCTTAAACTTGCAAACAAAATTAACTAATTGAGTACTCAAAAACATCTTTCGAGGATTAATTTTAATTTAATCGCTAATCTTTCACCTAAATATTGGCCCTAAATGATCTTATTTTTAATTGTTATTTAATTTTTAACCTGTTCTAAAGCGCTTTGGCGACACATCAAATTGGTTGACTCATACGGTAAGTTTTTTTATTGTGTTAGTAAAAAAACTCACACCGCATATATACATGTGAGTTTTTTTCACTAACACAATTAAAGAACTTACCGTTTGAGTCAACAAATTTGATGTGTGGCTATGTCGCTTAAATGTCCTCCAATTTCAATTAAATATGTTCGTTAAAAAATCTTGACGGCTACTGCGATTTGTGGCCGCCGTTGACTTTATTTTCGTGTCAGCCGGCGACGAAGTTAATGTTAGCCGCTGTACTTAGTTTTACACAGAGCTGAGAGTTGTTGCGTCTTTTTTTATTGCTAACAATCGACTTTTCATCTAATAAAAATTAAGAAATTGAACAGAAAATGCAAACCAGTGGACAAAACAAGTGAGTTATTTAATTAACATTTTTCGGCAACATTTAATTTCACATTCATTTTAGCAAACAAATGTTTTGGAATCGTAAAATGCTTGAAACATTCATAGGACTTTATAAAGAAAACGTATGTCTCTACGACATGAGCCACGAAAATTACAATAATCAAACAGTAAAGATGCACGCCTTAAAAAATATTGCCCAAAGGATGAAACAATATCTACCCAATTTGGAATTAAAGGATGTTCAAGATAAAATTAAAGCTATTCGTGCTCAACTTTTAGCAGAAATATCGCTCATTGAAGAGGCTGAGGCGTCCGGCAATAAATATGAACCGAATTTGTGGTGTTTTGAACAACTTGAGTTTTTGCGCGACCATTTAACAGAGAGTTCTAAGAAAGATAGTGTGAGTAAATACATATTTTAAATTTTAACATACATTTCAGTTTCACGGGTTATCGTTAAAAAAGCAAACATTTTTAAGTGAAACGGCTTTGTGGTACATAATATGTACTACATATGTATTTGCTATTTTGTGGTACTTAGTTTACCTTTAGTTGGAACGGTTATTTCTCGATGAGTGCGGGTAGGAATAGACAAATAAGAGCATTTTTACCGTCTTTAAAAGTGCAAAAAATATTTTCACATAGCTCTTAGACGACTACTGGCTAAAGTATACCTTTCTAAAAGCTTAAGCTGCGAATTCAAATCTAACTTCACAATTTTTCAAGTCAATAGATAGGAACATCAAGCTGTACAGCAAATAATAAAAAGTATAGAATAAATAAAAGTATACATAATTTGGAAATTAATTCTTTCAAAACTGTGGTAAAATATTTGATCAATAACTAGTATCTACTTCAATGTTCTATTTTTAGGATACAAAGGAGGAGCCAGTTTTTTACGAAGAAATTCAAAATGATAATGCTGATTATCAAAGTGACGGTTCGGAAGTTTCACTATATACGGAGCTCAATACAAAAAAGAAACGGTAAGATAATACATGATTAAATCATTGAATACAACTGACTTAGATCTTGTATTTCTGTATCTTTATTGTATATAGTGACAAAATTGAAAGAAGATTTAAATGGGAACGAGAAAGTCTTATACTTTTCATTAAACAGCTGGAAAGGTATAGAGTTTTATACGATCCTAAACATAAAGACTATTCAAAGCAACAGATAAGGTACGCTGCATATAATAAACTACTGAGAACTATGAAAAATCTTCATCCAGAAATCACTTTAACAGAAATTCGAGGTAAAATAAGATGTATTCGAAATCAGTATTTAAAAGAACTGCATAGTCTAAAAAATGCACAAAAAAGGAATGAGCCATATACACCAAAATTGTGGTGTTACGACTTGCTGGACAATTTATATAGAGACGTAAAGCCAAAAACACCACGTTTTAGACGGAATATTGATGATACGGTAAATAATACAATAATTTTATATATACACTAACATTATGTTAATAATATAATTTTATTCTTTTTCATTACTTTCTTAGAATGATACTAGCCATGTATCGGAAGAATCATTTAATATTGACAACACAGCTAATAACGAATTGTTGGAATTCGAAGAAATACATCAAGATATCATAGAAAACGAAGAGGACTATGAAAAAGAATCTGTCAATATTGAAACTATGGATTTCACACAAAATAACGATACAACTATAGACTATGAGTGTGTAAATTCCTTTGAATACAATACGGAAGATGTACAACCGACTAAGAAAAGATGTCTGCCCAAAGACTATTGTGATAATGTAACGGATTTGAATGAAATAACTAAATTTGAAATAACGGAATGTCATATGAAACAGGAAAAGAATAAAAGATCATCCGTAAAAGTTGATAAAGATCCGAAATATGATTGGCTTGGCGAATTAGTTGTATCACAAATGGCTGAAATATCACGAAAATATCATACCGAATTTGCTTGGGATGTTCAATGTTTAATTCGGAAGTACGTTGTGAAAAGTAAAACAGGTGATAGCGAAACATCTGACGACACTACTAATAACAACCCAAAACCGAGTACATCGCAGAATATTGTTCTACCACGTACTTCTAATGTTTCATTTAATCTTAGTTTTGTGTAAATGATTTTTTACCGGAATTGCCGTATTTATTAAGTTTTATGTGTATCTCTAAACTAGCTATTCGTTAAAGTTAATATGTATTTGATATAAACGGACATTTCTAAAAGTAAAGTAATTTGTTAATTAATTTTTTTGTTAACTATAGACTAGGATTAGACGTAGACAGCTTCTCAGATAAAATATGGATAGTTTAGCCAAGTTTATCGATTTAAAAAAATGTAATTACATTGTATAATTGCGAAAAACTACTCAACAAGTGACGAAGTGTGGTTTGTATATCTAATCTAGTAGAATGCCCTACCATATTTAGAATTATTAATATACCCAGAAAATCCGGATATATTTCCAAATTATTATTTTCGGCGTGAGATCGATTTTTTAGTTGTAAACGTGAGAACTAAAACTCATGTTTTTACGAATATTGCATGAATAAAACTAATTAAATTAAAATGAGATATATATTAACATTTACTATGTGAATCTGGTTTAATTTTTCAAATGCCTTGATTTGTTCAAAAGTTATTTAAAAAAATAGTAAAATGTCATTAAAAACTCAAAGCAATTTTTTTGAATTATTCCGGTCTTGTAGTAAAAGTCGACTCGAATTTTTTTAATTTTAAACAAAAAGTCGATTCTTGAATATTTTAAAGTCGATTTATATAGAATCTCATTCAGAAGTGATGCCACCTAGAATAATGTGCTAACATTTCTATGTGAATTCCTTAAAATAAAAAAGCAGCATTGTTGCAATATTTGTTTTCAATACTAAAATTAAATAATTTATAATTTTCAATCACAAAATACAGTTTTTAACTTTTGTTTTTATAAAAAAAAGAATTAAAAATGCATGATTATGCACAAAATAGGTAGGAATTTTTTATTTCCAATGACCGACCACATTAATTTATTGTTGTAAATAATTTTAGCAAACAATTGTTTTGGAATCGTAAAATGATCGAAATGTTTATAGACCTTTATAGGGAGAATGCATGTTTGTACGACAAGTGCCACCAAGATTATAATAATAAAAGAGTAAAGGCCAATGTCTTGGAAAGTATGCTAACAAAAATGCGTAAATTTTTACCCACGTTGGAATTGGTAGATATACAAGATAAAATTAAAGTTATTCGTGCTCAATTTAGTGAGGAGGTTACATTTGCTGATGCAGCCGGAGTTGGGTATGTTCCACAATTATGGTGTTTTGAGAAGCTGAAATTTTTGCGTGAACATCTAACATGTTGGCCAACAGATGATACTGTAAGTTGGAAAATAATTAGATTGCATTACATAGGTATTTTAAAAGGTTTTTAGAAATGTAAAGTATCAAATATTGTTTTAATGATTTAAATAATTTCTGAGCATTCTTCTTGGATATGTCCCTATAAAATAGGGGGGTATATTTATGAGCATTGAGATCTTGCACTAGAATCTGTTATTTGGGCTGAAAAGCTAACTGAAATTGTCAGTGTGTTTTCTGACCGAGAAGAACCAGTCTCCTCATGAAGATGTTTCAGATTCATGATCTTTTCTAAGATTTTGCTTCTTTAACATTAAAAATACTATCCAGTTCATTTCTATATGTGTATTTCATTTTGTCTATATGAACATAAATATGTAGCTTTAGCGGCGAATTATTTTGTCCTTAAAGGCATTTTATTGCTAAATTGAATAAATAAAGAACATGGCTGCATCCATGGCATTATTAAAAGGTATAGCAAATATTAAGAGGTAAACGGTTCAATTGAAAACTATGTTACTCGAAGTTTTTTAAGATACAAAACCAAAGAATGATCCGAAATTTAATTGATTTTCCGTTTGACTTAAATTATAAGTGCTTTTATTCATTGTGGAATATCTCTTTAATTTAAAATTAATATGAGTCAGACCGATTTTGTCGTTTAATTCATTTACAATTACTTTTGTTTTAGGATTCAAATGAGGAAAACGCAATTGGAGAAGAAAATCATTCTGAAAATAGTGATGATGATAGTGATGATTTCCATCTTTACCTTACAACAATTCTAGACAAATATAAATCTGAACCGTAAGAAAAACAAGTTTTTATACCCTACACCACTTTAGTGGGGAGGGTATATTGGATTTGTGCTGATGTTTGTAACATACAAAAATATTCGTCCTAGACCCACCTTAAAGTATACCAATCGGCTTAGAATCGTTTTCTGAGTCGATTAAGCTATGTCCGTCCGTCCGTCCGTCTGGCTGGCTGTCCATGTAAACCTTGTGCGCAAGGTACAGGTCGCAATTTTCAAGATAATTGGATGAAATTTGGCACGCACGTTTTATTTGACCCAAGGACGAAGCCTATTGAAAATGGTTAAAATCGGTCCATTATTTCACCTAGCCCCCATAGAACAGAACCCCCCGAAAAGGGCTTCTGAGCTCATAATTATGTCAAATATACAGATATATCGATAAAATACGGCACAACTAAGTTTTATAGAAGTCTTGATGACCCTGCCAAATTTCATAAAGATCGGGCCCCATTTGACCCTAGCTCCCATACAAAGTCACCTTCAGAAAATTACTGGAATGTCCCAAATTAACTTATAAACACAAATATCGCGATAAAATTCAGCACAATAAAATATTATGTAAATATAAATATATTCACAAAATTTTATCGGGCTTGGTCCCTAGCCCCCATATAAAGCCTCTTTCAGAAAATTAGTTTTTCATCCATAAATTGCTTAAATGTATCGGCACAAGGGAATATTGAAGATAAATGCTTTATTATGAAAAATAAATCACATTTAATATTCATAACTGGTGTAGGGTATCATATGGTCGGCCACGCCCGACTATACTTTCTTACTTGTTTAACATATGTATGTACATTTATAAACAATTAAAATATTTCTATTATAGAAAATATAGGTGGGATCCAGTCGTTACTAAGATTTTTATTAATATTCTTGAAGGATATCAAATACTA